ATGACCAGCAATCTTTTTCAATCACTGTCGGTCGCGATAGAAAAAGTAATTATGGATCGTATCAATATTTCCTCAAGATAATAGCACAGACGTGGTATAAAAATCAATACGCCTTGTCTGTGATAATAGGAAAAACAATATCCATCGTGGTGTCAGATTAATCAGTAAAGGGTTCATTTAAAAGTGACGGGAAACAAGAGAAAAAGAGTGACAAAGAAATATCATCGATGACCATCCTCCATTTAGATAAGCGATACGCGATCTAGAGTTCTCGGAGCAAAGTCTGCTGTGCACCTTGAGAAACGAACGAACACTTGCATACAGCCAGGCACGTGGAAATCTTCGATAAATTAAGCATAATTAACGGATAAAAACAAATCGTTCATCAGTCGAAACTTGCTCGAAACTCATGTCGGGCTAATCGAACGCGAGGAATGTCTTCCTTATCGATGTACTCGAAATGATTATCGTTCCGAGACCATCTGTACCTTCGACCCAAAAGATCACTACGGACGAACACAAACCACAACGGTGCAATTATTGAACTCGATCTTTTACCTTCGCAAATCTACAGAATGCGATTAAACATATGGTATATACAACGAGCAGAAAATTTCTTGGGTAGAAATGAACACATGCTATAAAATAAAATTTATTTGTACGATACGCTGTTTTTCAAACAGACAACTTTGAGATTTTATTGTAATTCACGGAGCAGTAAGTTCAAATGAATGCCAGAAAGCTTGTTGTTAAAATATATTTTGTTAATCCTGAAACTTTATTAACCATTTACCACCACATTCTTTAAACCCACTATCACTTCAGTATACATATTTATTGTGATATTCATTTGAAAACCTGTCTTTTTCCTACAAGATTAACATCTTAAATCTAAACTTCATTTCTTTATCTATATTCCACATTCAATATTTGCTTTTTCTTTTATGCAACTGCTTTGAGAAACAAACGGAATCGTTCATAAAGAATCAATAAGATTGTTATTACTATATTCTTATTTCTTCCTAATTTATAGTCAATCCCGAAAAATTATTCGAAATATATGTATCTTCCATATTACCCCGTGATAAGCACATCGATTAAATTTTCTTAACTTAATATACAGAAGGATTTTGAATGTTTTAAATCTACACAATTTTTGTGAATTGCGAAGCCTCATGCGATAAACTTATATTCTTTATTTTCACTTTCCTCCCGGAATATATTTATACGGAAAATTATTTAAGTTTAAAAGTGGCGTGAAATCAGACAAATAAACTAGAAATTATGATAAAAGTTTTCCAAGCCCTGCAATTATTTCACCGTTCTCCCTCTTTTATATTTCATGTAGCTTACACTTCTGTTTTAGATTCTTTTACTTCATTTTGAATTACTTTTATGTAGGTCACAGATAAATTACAAAAATAATAAAATCCCGTTACAGTGAGTATAGCTAGTTACCTAAAATTTCTATGACACGGAACTAAAAATTTAGAATGAAGTGACAGAACATTGTAAAAAATAATCGAAACCACAAACTATTCTCCTTGTTGTGCTGCAAATTAGTAAGTTGATCTGACAAAATTATAAGATTCAATAATTCAAACCAAAAGAAAAAGAGCAATTCACGCGAATCAACTTAATAAAAGTCGAGGAAAAAAATCAAATTACATTCACAATCCCTTATCAAGTATTAAATGCAACAATACATTTTCACAAGTATCTCAAAATCATAACAAAGCAGTAATGTACAAAGTGTTTTTTGCTTTATTAAACGTTCTACGCCTTTATATGTTTTTCACGAGACATTCCGAGCCTAATGATTTCCCACAAAACGTAGGAAACATACACTACTTCGTCTAATTAACATTCCAACAAGCTCTCGCACGCTACTGTCGTGTGTCGAGGCGTAGACGATGAATCCATCGTGGTTTCATACAAAAATTATACAACATTAGATTAATTTTAAAAATACGGATAATCAGTGGGTTTCAAAACATTCCCAGTCATATTTTTAGAATGTTATTTCAGCCTCAGATCATAATTTAATAATATTGATTTTTTTCTCAAAATTAAAATCTCTGAGGCCATTAATTCTTATTATAGTAATTAATACTTACTTTTACGTATTAATAATCATCAGTTGTCTTTTGAAAACACGGCATTTTTTCAAGTATAAATACATTTATAGTTAAATACTAAACAGAATATGTCTATTACGTGTATGCAAAAGTAATGGATGTCCCATTCAAGTTGATATTACGGTTTTATGGTGTTTTTGGTCGGAGAATTCAACATTCTCTAGAAAAATGTAAAGATGTTGTAGGAAATCAAGAGAAACGAGGGGGAAAGTGGGTTTTCGATGGAAAAATGGCCACTACTGTAATTTAAATTATAAAATTACTTTAAATTATATTTAATAATTGTTTAATTAATAATATATTATAGATGAAAGATACAAATTAACAAAATATATTCGTAGCATGAGCTAAATAGTTACTCCACATATACACATATGTACAAACATTCTATTCATCATGTCTATCATTTGTTTCGTAATTAATCTGCAATTAACACCTTATTTATAAAAGAATTTGTTTTTACTAAATTATCTAAGTATTTGTGCGACATTACACATGGCTAAACACGTTAACTTTATGATTCGACCGTAAAGCCGATGACTTATGAACCATGTATGTTGAAAAGTGTACCTGACTTCCTGTAAATCTAGCTATCAACAGCTTTAAATACGATCAATTAATCATTCAGCATGTGTCTATGATGAAATGAATGACATATAAATTAACGAACAAGTGGTTCTTACAGTTGACCATCTACAATTTTAGATTGATGACAGTCAAATGTTATATGTCCGACGAATTGGTATATAAATTAATTATTGTATGAAGAACGATTCAAAATTACACAAAAACAATTGAAATTCTACATAACGATGTTTTCAATAAAAACAGTTAATGACAATAATTCACTTCTGTTTATCACAATTTATTTCTTATCGTCAAGTAAAATCCACCGAAAAAAATCGAATGTGATTTCTGTGTTTCGGGGATACATTGATTTGTCAGCAACATAATAAAAAATTTGGAATTGCTGACAAACTTAATGAAAGAAAGTGGAAAACATTTAATATGTCAAGATTCAGTGATACGTTCATAACCAACAGACACATTTTCCGATTAATTAAACAATACACTCATAGATGGTTATCGAATGACGTGTAATCGGCACGAAAGCCTCTTGTATTTTTTCAGCGTGCAACCATCACTCAAAGTGTGTCGCGAACAATTAAAAAGAAAAACAAACATGTCGATTCTCTCCCCACCGTGGATAGATTGCGATTCATCATTTACAGCAATTGTCTTGTTGCTGCCGCTGCGTTACGTGGAAATGTGAGAAAAACGGATGTTCAGCTATACGTACCTATGACGTACGTTACATAATAATTTATATAATGTAAATGTAATTGTTTAGTAATTATTAAACGACACACATATAAAGAATCGAAAGTTAACAAGGAATCCACTTGCCCTATTGAACTAAGTTGAAAAGAAAAGAACAATCTTAATTAAGCATTATCGAAGACTTTGATGATTAAATATACACAATATTACATATATTAATGTTAAAAATTACATAAAAGGCACGAAAACCGATAGAACTCCAACAAACTTATTATTTTATTCTATTTTACAAACTTGAATTTATTGTAAATGTGTAATACTTGTAATCTTGTTTTAAAAGTTCAAAGTTTGCAAAAATCCGTATAAATAGTATACTGTAATCTTTATGTCAATAATTTATTTATAATAAAATTAATTTCAATAATTATATAATAAAAAAAATGACCTAACCGTATGTAGATTTTTGAAGTCTAGAAATAAATGTAACGATTTTGCCATTACAACATTGACAATGTTTTGAGCATGTTCAAAGCAGTATTTAATCAAATTACTACAGAACCACCTAACTGGGAGATTTGAATACGGGCATAAGCAAATATCCTGATAATAATATACGCAAAATTTTCTCATATAGATCTTCACACCTTTTGAAGGAAATACAGACACTGATAATAAAAATGCAGAATATTGTAATTGAACGCGATTTGATTTAAAAAAAAAGTACAAATATATTCTTTTAGTACTTTACACCATGTCAACACTTGGTTTTTAAAATTTGAATTTTAATTCATCTTTTCCGCGTATTCTCACATTTTCTCCCATATAATACGATCAGATAGTATATGATAATATATGATGTTATAAGAACAAAACAAAATGTCGTTATTAATCAGTCGTTCAAATACTGTTTCAATAAAAAGAAAATCGATATTTTCAAAAGAAGTTCATATGGATTATATCATCGAAGATTCTCCGAACTTCATACGCGTAATCATAACACCTGTTTATTACTGCTGTGATAAAACTCTTTTGTTTTACACTCAACTACTTTTGTTTTCTGGCATTAACGTTCAATATGAATATTTCTGATACTTATCGCATGTTTAAAAAACAATAATTATGTTCTATTATACGACTGGACACTGATGTTATTTTAATTCTCATTTTAAATTGCCAAAAATCAATGTATTTTTACAAACAAGGTGAACAAATTATCGAACAACGAATACAGTATCGAACCATTATTTTATGTTTTATTTTAACATTATTATAACAATTGTAGCGTAAAACAGGTTATGTCTAAAATCTAATCTTAGTTTAGTTATATATTATATCACTTTCTCTCATGTACCATATTCCAACGAGCTCATAAATAATAAATTACGAATACCCAGAAAATATGTCACTGTACTATTGTAGAATGCCAAAATTTCCTTCACTTTTCGTTATCAATATTATAGAAACTCTCGGATACTCTTGTGATCTTCGACAATTCGAAATTTATTCCAAACGATCAAGTGATGCATTTTTGACTCTGTAGATGAATTTTGCGATCAGTTTTAAACAAGTCTATCGACTCACCGGAATGATGCAGCGAGTAGCGGAGGAAACGTATAGGTTCGGCTCAGCGATCTTTTTCTCTTACAAAAAGGAGGCCAGAGCGGAATTACATAACAGAAACGAGGATCCAGTGATTCGACTCGATTCCACACAATACCGGACCCGACAGTCGCGCACTCACCGACTTACTTTACTGAATCTAATTCAACGCTCGACAACGTCCCACCTCCGACGCGAGTTTCGCGTGACGGCGACGGCAGGACGGCGGGAGAGGAAGCGGCGAACTCGTGACGAGTTGTTCATTGTACATAATCGTACACTGTGAAGAGATACATTTATTCAAATCAATTCGCCGCAACAGGTAGCGGAGCTACGTGCGACACGCGGATAATTAGATCGAACGAGATCGTTCCGAGAACAGTTAAAAGGCCACACCATCGCCATAATGTGTCGATCAGTGGAGAATAGCCGAAAAATCAAAGTGTCAGATTTACAAGTGTTTCTATCTTAACCCTTGTGTAGGCAACCGGGTACCCAGGTACCCATTTCTGAATTTCCTTTCACAATTTTTTATGCTCTTGTCTAAAAAAGCACTTGGTATGTTATAGGAGCGGAAAATTAAGATTTTCGGAAAGATATGAAAGTAAAATTATCTATGTTTATTTAATCCGTCAGAATAGGAGTATTCCGATTGCTCATTAACCGTGAGTATTTTGGTTGCCCAAAGAAGGGTGAACCCGCTCACTGCATCTTTTTAGTATTTTGTACCAAACTTTTTTTTTTTATAAAATCAAGAGACAATTATTTAAGATTCTTTAACGCATTTTTGAAAATATTTTTATTTCTTTTTCATAAACAATGTGTTTTCTCACGGTAAATAACGCCACCAGTAGTCACAGTAACACCGTTTTTCTAATGTTTAGATGTTATTTAGAGAAGGTTCATACTGCCAATCGTCAAAAAATGTTCCAAATATTGTCACTAAAGTGATAAAGTAAATGTCCACTGTAGTAGACACATGCAGTTGTAATATTACTTTAAATTTGCATTCAATATAGGAATTTGTTGTTAAAACTAGAAAGTAAAATTTGCATTTTTTCAACCACGTGCCATTTATAAACCATTTGAGCATTTAATTTGATGATCATACGTTGAGTTCAATACTGTAGTACCTTTGAAATTAATCCGTAATTTTAATAAAATAGTAACAAATTGTGTGAATTTTTTATGTAAACTGTTTATCAACTTTGAAGAGACTTTTAAAAAATACCTCTGTAGATTTTGTTTATTCAATTTAGGACACGATAAATTTTACATTAAAATCCAGTTCAATTTCGTTTCAACCTGTAGAAGCGACAATTTTCTATTGTATAACTTAATAAATCTGATCGTAGCTACTCGAACAATAGTGACCATTCAATCTATTGTGTCTTTGTTTTCGTGAAATTTATTATAATATGTAGAATTAGAAGTTTTGCTTTGCTTTTAAATTGCACTAAATCAACTCATAAATAAAAGGACAGATTTATAATTTTTCAAAGACCATGACTATATTACGTCCTTGTTATGCCCCCCACCACAACCACACGATAAATTTTACATTACAATCAAGTTCAATTGCCCAAATTTTCCCAAAACGAAAAAAATAGTCGAAATTGTTAGACGGTACGTATTCGGTAAGTAGTGGTTGTTGCAATCGCATAAGATGCAATTATTCAGGCATTTGAATTTAAACTTAAACTCACAAAGACTCAATTAGTTCGAAAACAAAGCGCGCTACGACAAAATTTTATTCTATATCTTTGTCTTGTTGTTGTGTCTAAATCTGACTCTCTATATTCAATATCTTTTCGAGACTAAGAAAATTCGTTGTAATTGTTCAAGAAAAAAAATTCTTCATGATTTATGATGTATTAATTAATAATACCACAAGCTTAGAATATCGACGATAAAACAGTGACAGGATTATATTGAAATGTATGGTGATAATTTTCATCCAATATATAAATTTTATCTTATTTTATACTTTTCTTTAGTCTTAAGTACGTACAATATCACTTCCTAACATCCCCATAAACAGGTTGTGCCGGCCCTCTTATAATCACGTTGCTATCTTAACCACATTACGAGTCGCTTGCTGACAGTGGGCGACAATTCTTTAGTTTTATCAATGCTAAAAGCGAGAGGAGTAATAATGAACTAATGAGAGACAACAAAATGGAAGCAAACCATTAATTAATGGAACAGTCAAAGGATCATATTCGCTGCTGTCTTTGTATAATCACATTGCAAGTCACAGCCGATATCCAATACCACGAATCTATATGTTAATTATTAATTAAATATAATAATTTCTTTAATCTTCGTTTCATTTTTATGAAACCCATGACAATAGATACGTGATGCTTTTCCATTAAAACTGAATCTAAACACTTCCTTATTCGGACCATTTTTAATTATACAACACGTAAGAATTATACAATAAGTCATAATTTTACTTCCAGTAAAAATTGTTTCAGTAAGGTTATGTTTAACACGTTCACGCCGGGGCCGATTATAATTTGTTTTGCTATTAGGCGGCGTTCAAATTAATATCGCGCTTCATCTGGCGGCGCGTGATTATTGCCTGTTCAGACCTGCATACACGTTGTTTGTTTCTCTGCAGACGACAGTTTAGTGCGGGTCACCGGTGGCCCACGCCGCCCGATGTGACAGTTTAGTGTGGCCCACCGGTGGCCCGCGCCGGCGTGAACGTGTTAAACTTATTTATATCAAAAAGATCTTACTGATACGTTAGAAATGCTTCCATAAACGGAATACACATCATATGAAAATTTAACGTTTCATTGGCGGATGGCAGATGGTACTTTGCATGCATGATTTGTTACACACGGTCGTCGATCGCCGACCAGCCCCATAGCTGGAGGGTCTTTTGCTCCAAGGAGTTCGTGGAAGTGGTAGAAATATCGATTTCTAAACGTATTTAAGAAAATTATACTAGTATTACTGTTAGTTTAACGGACATATGTCTGCAGGCACTATAAATAATTGCTATCCTTTGTATGTTTAAAAATCAAATTTTAAAGAAGTGTTTTCTCGACATCTGTTAAAATATTTACAAAAACCATTGCAGAGAACATATAGAGTATAGAGCAACCAATGTCCTTTACACCATATGCGATCTACCTTTGTTTTGTAAGTAATAATTTCCTAAAATTCAAATATTTTTAAAATTTGCTGATAATTGAACGATTTAATAATTATGTATATTTGCTGAGGTGCTGCAGTGAAACAACAAAGTCTTAATAAATTCCGCTATACAAGGTGATGCCAAAAATGTTTCAAATAAAAATCTAATGGTTTCAGGGGAAAAAATCATTTGACGTGAGTAGTCTTTTTGTAAGTGAACGCGTAAAGGACATACTAAGATCAAACTTGTTTCTTGAAATGTAACCATGTTTTTTATTAAGAAAAATTCCGCGTGATACTACGCGCGATATCTAATATCTGATTTCAAACATCAATTTTAAAAAGTTGAGCATCGCATTAATAATACTACTTCATAATTATAAAATTAAAATATCTCCTAAACTAATGGTTCTTTGGCATAAATTTTTTAATACTTTTTTATAAGGAATGACGAGTTTCATCGATTAATGTATTAAAAACTATATAATCCCATTAAAAAAAAATTTTACCTTCATATGTCCTCTACGCGACCACAAATATTTACAAAATAATCACTGTATTGAAATCGCTGAATTGAAGTTGAGGGGCATCAGTTCGAGTACCTATAGCTTCAAGATAGTAAGTACGTATTAAAAATTGTTTTGTAAATATCTCGTTAACTATTAGGTTTAGGACTTATGAAGGTCAACACATTGTTACTCAGAATTTGATACTATATCGATCTATGGTACAAAAAATAGGTCATTCCGTTAAAAAAAATCAAAGTGACCTTGAAATCTCTAAAATGCCTCCACCCATAAAAAAACTCGTACCTTATAAGATGTGCTCCTTAATGCCATTTAAGTTCCACGTCTCAAAATGTTCATAAAGTGTACCGTTAAGTCATTATTCGAGGTGATCTAGTCAGCTGAGACACCCTGTATATTTTACAGATCGACTTTTACAAAGTTTGAAAATCTGAAAGGTTCAGAGGAATGAGTATAGCTTCTGGATACATGTGAAACGTGACGCAAGAGGTTGCATAGAAGCGGCTACTCCCTACAACCGTCGATGCACTGTCTTCGAGGATTTCCGTTTAACTACATTTAAACTCATTTTTCGAACGATTAATATGCCAAACAGTTGACATTCTTTTTATAGTATGTTTGCTCAAAGATACGTATACCTTACAGTCCGTCTTCAAAGCAAATTATTGTCTGACCGAATACAGATAATGGTTAAAGGAGTCAATAAGATAGGAGAAAGAAATGAAAACGAGAAAGCTTTAAATAAACGTTACGAAAACGAAGGGAAAATGGCCCCTAAATAAAGAGACGGAAAGCAAACGATGGGCTTTTCGTTCTTTTACTTGTTCCCTGGACGTACACGCATAAAACACATAGGCTTGGCTGGATATTTAGTACTTTGTAATATTGTTAAAACAGACCTGATATGCTGTCGTAGGACATTTTTTGTTCAATTTGAGCTCCCTATGAGCACTAGACGCATAAGTATTATCTCAAGAAATTGAGAGACATAAAAAATGGCAATAGCCAACAAATGACACTTGTTCATTATCAATAAAGCACTAAGTGTGCGTTATTTTTTAAGATTTTAAGGTATCGATTTATAACAGAAATTTTGTGTAACGGCAATTTTTGTTTCATGAACAAATACACGCGGAAGCATATTCTTTTAATGAAAGATATCCTGTGATTCCTGATTTGAAATTTCGTTTTTAAAATTTCGGGAAAAAGCTTATGACGTCCACGCAAATATCCACTTCTATTTTTACACTGGAAAATACTGAACTAAAGAAATAGGTTACTATTTACCTGCATCCATTTAATAGAAACAATAAAATAGTGGCCTTTTTCTCATTGTTACTCATAAGCACACAAGATGAAGTGCACATATTGAAAATATCTTAAACTTCATACCACTATGTAGGTACATATTTTACCAGATTATTATGTCAAAATCATAAATTTCAATTTGCAA